ATGAGAGGTTAGGTAGAACTCTTGAAGACATTGGCATAGGACAAGATTTCATGAACAAAACCTTAGTTGCACAAGGTCTAGTACAAAGAAACAACAAGTGGGATGTGTTCTTATTTAAAAGCTTCTGCACAGCAAGAGGAACCACCATCAGTGTGAAGAGACAAAACACAATGTCAGGAAACATTTTTACCAGCTGTTTCAAAGTCAAAGGTCTTCTATCTAGAATATATGAAGAACTCAAAAAACTCATACTTCCTAAATTTAAAGACCCAATAGAAAAATAGGCATCTGAAATGAACAGACATTTCTCAGTCAAAGGAGAAATAGTAAATAAACATATGAAAAACTGTTCAACAACAGAGATCATTTCAGAGATGCAAATGAAAACAATGCTGAGATTCCATCTCATCCCATAAAGAATGGCTGCTATCGTTAAATCAACCAATAACAAATGCTGGTGTGGCTGTGTGGAAAAAGGAACCTGTCTCCACTGTTGGTGGGAGTGTAGAATGGTGCAACCACTGTAGAAATCAGTACGGAGATACCTCAAAGAACGAGGACTAGAGGTCCCATTTGATCCAGGTATTCCCCTGCTGGGTATCTTCCCAAAAGAATTAAATGCATCATAGCACAGCGATATATGTGCACCCATGTTCATAGCAGCAAAGTTTGTAATAGCTAAAACTTGGAAACAGCCCAATTGTCCATCAACTGGAAACTGGATAAAGAATATGTATTTTGTTTATAAAATGGAGTAGTACTCAGCCATAAAGAATGAGAAATTAGAGACATTCACATCTAAATGGGTGCACATTGTGGCAATGGTCTTAATTGAAATAAATAGGACACACGTGTAAATACTGAATAGTTTCTCTGGTGTGAGAAACTGATAGTATAAATAAGGATCACAGGTATAATAGATAATGTGAAATAAGAAGCAAAGGGGAAAAGGGGAAGGGGATGTGGGAGGGGTAGGGGAAAGCAAAGAAGGGCATGGAATTAATATGAAAAAATGAAAACATGGAAACAAAGTCTTTGTAAATAGGGAGGGGTGGTGGAGTTGAAGGGAGGGCAGAAGAATGCGTAAAAAATATGAACAAAGATATATTATGTAAAGGTAAAATTTTTCAATGATGGATGTCATTATATGGTACAACTAAAATGTACCAATAAAATTATTTTTTAAAAATAAATTATCTGCATATATTATTACATGTTATAATATATACACATTACACATTGTAATATATATACATTAACATATATACATTTTAATATATATATACAGGCATTATGGAATTAATAATAAACTAAAGTAGAATCCCTGGTATTGTATATTGTTCTCTTGAGATAATATGAAAGAACACAAGAGTGAAGATGTTCCTATGACTGCATGGTTTATAATGTGAATATAAAGGCATTGAGAAACATTGATGTTCCTTCCATTACTTTATAAGAGCAATTTTAATACAAGATTATTAGAGTGCACATTGATGAAGTTGACTTCTATGCTATCAGACACAGACACACACATTGAGAGAGAAATGATCTCTTATTCAGTCTTAGTCATCCTGCAGATGTCTCATTCATTCAAACTCTGTTTTCTATGTTTTCCTCGGGACAAAGATAACAACAGATATACATTTTTCTTAAAAAAATAATCCAACAAAACTGTTTTCTCCATGATATCGTCACCTTTTCACTTTGACAAGACCATCCTGGTGTTTCCTATCAAATTTTGCATAGTTCTTAAACACAAGTGAAGTGGTATTGGTAGGTTTGTTGTTGTTGATGTTGATGTTGTTATTGTTTATTTGTCTTTTTCTCCTTGGTACTCTGCATGAAATCTAGGACTTTATACATTAGCAAAGCATTGTACCACTGAGCCTGGCCAACAGTTATACTTGTAAAATATACTTTCATTGGAAAAATTATCCCTGATTCACAGAGTGAAGTAGAGTAAAGCTTTCATTATGGAAAAGCTGAAAGTTCAGGATGGTTAAAGCTTGGAGAAATGACAAGTGAGTCATCCTTTTACATGAAAACATGAATAAAAAGTTCTTTCCTATGTACTTATTAATTTACCTAAAATGCTTCTCCCACATGTTCCTACCATAATAAAAAAGCTTAATTCTCCCACATTATTCCCGCACAATGCAGTTATAACTAGAACACAACTATAAGCCACAGTCCACCATTTCAAAGTGCACAACAGAACTGGAAAAAATATCACTGTCATTCCAATATATTACTCTTAGTACCAGTTCTATAATATTCATTTTTACAATAATCCTACAGGACTCAGCCTCCAGAGACAAAGTAGAATTTGGACAAGAAGCAACTTTCTCTCCTACACTCCAGTACTAAAGTTGCAATAATGGTTCAACTGGGCCAGTGTCCCAAGACCTGTGTTATACAAAAGTTAGAAGACAAAATAGAAAACTTCCAAGAGTGTGTGTATAGGTTGAGTCCAGAAGTCTTCCCACCCAGTTAACAAGGTTCCTGTTATTGAATAAACCTCCTGTGCATCTATATATTGGAAATGCTCAAAGCCTGGGAGAAAGAAGAAAATGGTATGGGAGCTTCCTTGAATGTTGAGGGGCCCTCCTCAATAAAGTTAGAATTAATGTTGTTGTTCTTCCTTCTAACTCATCCAGAGTCCATGTATATCTTAGACTTCTGAACTCCTTCCTACTTATTTTATTTCAGGAATAAGAGTTTGAGAATGTGGGCCTATTTCCTTGCTAGTAAAATGGAAACCTATACAGAGTAATTACCTGTGACTCTTTTTTATTGGGATGCTTAAATGACATGAGCTATCTAATACTTAACATTGCCAAATATTACATAGCAATATCACCTCTGGGTTCTGGTCAGGGAACCAAAGATGTTGCATCTAGGGGATGAGCATTGCTATTTTGCTGTCCAAGCAGCTGACAGGGATTGTAAGCCAAACCTCAATAAAAATTAGAGGGACAAAGTTTAACAACAGATAGACACTTTCTTTGCAAAAAGGAAAGGATTGGGGAAGAACAGAGAAGATAGCTACTGTGCTAAGAAAGAATCAGGATTAGCGGGCTTCAGAGAGATAAAGGACCAGTGAGCCTTTGTTCCCAGCTGCCTTTATAGAGGCGTGAGGGACTCCCAATCCCCACACACTGGAACATGCCATTAATGGATCAGCTTCTGGGCACCTCTGCCTAGCATCATTTCTTCCAGTGGTCTATGTGCAGCTTCTTTCTGTCTGTTCACTTGTCCACCTACATTTTAAGGCCTTATCTTGGCAGTGGGCACCTAGTTGGCAAAAGAATACCTTATTCATGGTTACTTTAGTACTTTAAAGTTAGTAAGGGGGCATGTGGATATCTATCTTACTCTATAATGACCCTAGCATGAATAATATGACTCTAGAGTGACTACACTACACACACACACACACACACACACACACGTTAATGCACAGGTGTGAGTGCATATTGTCTTATAATTAGCTATCCCCTCCCCCGGAGAGCCTGAGAGGGCTGGCTATCTCAGCCTGGCTTTTTGTATTTGGCTCTCTCTGTACTGAACCTGTCAGCTCTTTCTCTCTCTGGTCTCTTGGTGCAAGTTCCAAGACATTTGGTGCCTTTTTAATCTGGTTTTTCCTCTTTCTTCTGCACACCCCTCGTCTTTGATCTGTTTCCCAGTGGAATTTCTATAGTAAAGTTTGTTTTTCACTCCTTCTAGTCAGGGTTAACTGGAAGACCTAATGAGGCTCCTACTTGATTTTTTTTTTGTTTTTTTTGTCTTCAAACCCCTGCCCTTACAGCAATGTAAAAAAAAAAAAGAGTTGGATAAAAGTAAATATCAAACATTATATCACTTCAAGGCAGTAGTAGAAATTGAAGCTAGTGTTCAATTTCTAACCTGATATTACACAAGTTTTAGCCCATAAAATTAGAACAGTTCAGTTTCATCTTTCTGGAGAAATAACTTTCTGTTACCATTTAAAATCTGCCCCTACTTGCACAAGTAGGTAAAACTATCTTTACAAGACAACAGAATTATTTCAGTGTGAGAAAATTACATCAAGATTTCTGTATACCCATCAAATCCTATAAATCACAGAAAATTTTAAAAGGTAAAAAATGAGTGTATTTAAAAGGCAAAACAAAACAAAACAGAACAACAGAATATCTGTGTTTATTTTTTTAGTTAACATGCTATAGATTGATTTTTTTCTTTTAATTTATCTTCCTCTGATTTCTTTATGGAATTTGTTGTGGTTTCCATTTTCTTTTGATAAAGAAATTAAAATTAGTAGAAATCATTCTGTAAAAAACAGTAACCAACAAATAGCCACACAATTTGGAATTTTCTTATCTTTTCTGCAGACTTTTTATTTGTCTCCCTCAAAAAAGTTTACTCTTCCATGAAAAGTGTTTATGAAATATACATTGGTTTTCATGATTTACTTCTGCAGAAATTATTCATTAAAATAAACTATAGAAAAGGAAGCATATAGTTGTAAGTTTCACACAAATTCCATGATGAAAATGAGACCACTTGTTTTATATCCATATTTTATAGGACTGTTCTTTCATATTATTCATGCTAGCACATATGGAAGTTTATAAGGAGAGGAAGAGAGTGAATTGGCATCTGCATGAAACCTGAAATAAAGAAACTTTGCTAGAAAAGCCAAAAGTATCTTTTTCCAAAGACTCAGCATAGTGTCTAATCTCAGATATATTAGTCTGAATGCAGATTTTAAATGCACGAGAAAGATTAACAAATAGAAAAATGTATTGAAGTCTTCATCATGACGGCTAGTGTGTTCAATCTGGAAGCATTACAATAAGTTGCAAATGCGTATTCCAATAGGGAACAATGGTTCTCATTAAAGTCCTAGAGGAAAAGATGTCTCTTTGGAAGGAAAATACACAATTTACCTTATGTGAGCATAAACAAACATACCACGTTGTCAACAGACTGAGTACTAGAGCTATTTATTTATTTATTTATTTATTTTGGAGAAATCGTGGATTGGGTTGTTGTTTCTTCTGCAGCTGTAGCTCGGCTGCTTTTTGTTCAGCTGCATTGACCAGGATGTAGAAGTTGCTGAAATCTTCATGTTCCTCTGGCCACACAGATTCGGGAAAAGCCAAGGGCTCACTGGTGAAAACCTCGATCTTTTCGTTCAAGGGGCCTTTTATGATGAGCTTCTGGCTTGGGGAAGGCTCTGGATCCGGTAGCTTCTTTCCTGACTCCTGGCCTCTTGGCAATGGAGACAGGGGCAGGCATTCAACTTTGTCGGGGTCCCCGGGGCCTGCCTGGACCAGAATAGAAGAATCGGTGTTTGGTGGTTGAGTTTCATCAGCATCATTGTCTATTTGGTGTTTGGAGTCATTTACATTCTGTTGCAGCATTTCCGGGAAAACGCATCTGCGGGCATTTTTGAACCAATTGGTGATCTGTAGAAAAGATAAATTGCTCTGTTCTGACAGCATTCGCCTTTCCGCCTCTGATGGATTGGCATTAAATTGGTGCTCATAGAGCCAGTCACGGAGAACCTTCTCGGAGTCGGATGGCAGGTAGGCTTTCTTCTGTCTCTTGCTCTCTGGTGAAATAAGACACTCGTCTATCCTTGTGCTATTTCTTGAAGTGACTGAAGTGCTTTGATTCGGACTTTGGATCTCTGCTGGACTTTCCTCAGCATCCTCCATGTTCCAGAGGCTTACCTTCAGTGTCTTGGAAATCAGAGACTATTGGAGTAGGACTAAAGTAGGCCTGCAAGAGCCAATGAAGAAGGCTTGGAAAGTTTTTCAAAAGGAAGTTTCTCCTGTTGCTTCCCAAGCAGGTAAACACTGTTGCTAAGGCCTGAGCCTACTGCCTCTGTGACCTCAGATCCTGCCTAAGCTGCGCATGAACTGCCCCTCCCCCACATCCTGGTTTACCTTTTCCACACTGTTCCTGGGCTTTTTCAGTAATTTCAAAGGCACGTGTTTTCATTCTATCCATTTATAGCTTTCTAGAATTTTGTATCTTTGATGTTGTCACCAGTTTGCATTAACTGACAAAGTCTATTTCTGCTAGTCAAAATGGGAGACTATTTTCTTTCCTTTTGATTGTCTTCTCGTACTGCTCTTCCTTGCTTCCTCCTTATAATTGACTTACTGGCTCATTACACATATTAGAAACAAAGTATGTATTTAGTAGTAACCTCAATAAAATAATTTAGGAGATGTACCATGTTTTCTGATTCCTCTTTTCTATGTTTCTAGGAAGTTTTAAGAAAAAAGTAGATTTTAATTTTATCACATGGCTGCCCTGAGTTTTCTTTTCTGTGGCCTAGTCTTTGGCTTTGTCATGATTCCATTGTGTTTTCTCTTTGTGTCTGTTCTTTGGGCTCAGATATCCAGTTGTGATGCTTCTCTATGAAGCTTCAGGCAAAATTCAGGTTTTTTTTTAAAGGAATAGAACATGATCCAAGAAATAATAAACACAGACTTAGTTCATTTAATCTTTCTAGACATCTAGACATTGGGTGTTCATGGAATTTACCCACCTAAGTCAGATGAATATAATTTGTAAATTGTGAATTAAAGAAGCAAAAATTAATGCTGTGTTAATTGACCTTTATCAACTCAGAAAGTAAAGATTACTGTCAAGGTATGCCTTTCTTGTAATATAGTGAATAATCTGGATTTTTCAATAGATACATTGAAGTTTGAAACAAATTGAAGGAAGCTTCATGAAGCCAGCCTTCCAATTTTTCCAGTTGGAAAGGTTCATGGCATATGGAGAGTAGGGAATGTAGGAAGTCTGAAAATTCAGCTATCATTAGGAAGAGGTGTGGCCTGACAAGACAACCAGCTGTACACTAGAGTGCGTTAGTGGAAGCACTGAAAAAATATATGCATATATTAAAAGAACCAATAAACAGCAAACTGAAGTCAAAATATTTGTTACAAGATATTATATTTTGCACTTGTGAGATACTATAATGAAATGATAAACACATAAGCATAAAAAAAATATAAGCATAACTAGGTCAATGAAATAAATGGATGTGGACACAGTCCTTAATGGGACTGTGTGCATGGTTGTTATGGCTTTCAGTATCATTGATATCACCTCTGAAAATGCTGTTGCCAAGAATACACCACAAACTTTTGAAAATTTACTTTGTATGAATTACAGGTTGAAGAAAATTGAAGGAAAATACAGAGAACTGTCCTATTGTGTATTGTTCAGAACCTGTAGGGTGAAATATGTCACTTCTGGTGGCATTATAAAATAAAACATCCTTTTTAGAGTTAGTCATGAAGAATGAGTCAAAGAAAAATAAAGTTGTTCAATTACTTGATCAGATGGAAGTGTTTGATAAAAATCATAAAGATAAATACAGTGAACTCTTGAGTTACAACCAGCCTGACATACAAACAACTTCAGTTATGACCAGAGTTTTAGTTTTAACTTCAAAAGAAAGTCTTGAGTTAGACTTGAATGAAGGACACTTGTACTTCCAGATGGTCTCAGATACAGATTTAGCCCTTAAAGAGTTCTGTGGGGTTAATTGAGAAATCCTGGGCCAATGTCTCTCTAAGGACACGGAGATCTGCCTGTATTCAGGAGGGAGACTTTGAAGGCTGTGTAGAGGAGCCTGAGCCTTCAATTGACCAACTTGTGTTACAACCAGCCCCCCGTGAATGAATTGAGTTCCTAAGTCAAAGGTTAAATGTATATATAATAGTTCTCACATAATAAACTATAGTTGCAAGAAGTTAGAAATCTTGTGGGTTTGATTAAATTAAAAATTCTCTACACAATTGAAAAAAATCTAGAAATAAAATTCAATGGCATAGACATGTATTCACATGGAATGAATTGAGGGCATTCCAAAAAGAATTAGAATACAGCCTGAATATTATTAATTTTTCTGGAAAAAGAAAATGGAAAGAAACAAAGCATATGCTCACACACCCAAAAGGTGCAACATGCTTGTGCCGGTTACTGTATTCCTGATTCTAGAAAAAAAAATCAGTAATTGACTCTTATTATCTTGGGCTATAAGAAGACTACACCTTTTATATTAATTGACCTTTTCAAGAAATCTTCAACTATGCTAAGAGGGATCAAGAAAAACTTCACTTAGTTAAGGGTTAATTTTTCAAATTGGTATCAAGAATAAAACAAAACACTCTAATGCTGCAAGTGTAGTTAGGTGGTAGAGCACTGATCTAGCATGTATAAAATCCTGGGTTCAATCCTTAGGACTGCAAAGATCAAACAAACAAGGAACTCACTAAAGAGTCCAAAACCATGAGAAAATTAGGTCTCATAACAGTTTAGCTGGTACAGGAAAAGGTTTGCCCAATTATTCCTGTCATTAAAGTCAAGAGAGACATGCAAACTTACTGTCACATTTAGCTGTCCCCAGAAGTCCTGAGGATATCAAAAAAGAAATGCAAATATGGAGTAAAATTGTCCATTTCTCAACATTGTTTGAGGTAGCTAGTAAAAGAGTTAATACTGCATAAACTTCAATTCTTCTCATCAGAGTAAAGGGAGAACTTTAAAAACTCGCCCCTCCCTATTCAAAACAATTTTGCCACTGTTACCTCATTTGAGTCTCTGGGATTAAGTTTATGACATCCTTTATCCCTCTATATACCATACGCCTTAAAGAAGGATAAACTTGAGTCATTTGTAGGAAAATGGATGCACCTTGAGACCATAACATTAAGTGTAGGAAATCAAAAACATAAACTGAAATATCATATGTTTTTTCTTAAATTAGAAACCTAAAATATAAATCAAGAGCAAAACAAAAACAGATAATAGGAAATAGGGAGATAGATATTTTGAAAAGGGGAAGGAGACCAAGAGATGGAGGGAGGGGTGAAGGAGGCAGAGGGAAGAGGGAGAAAGGGGATGTAGAAAAGAATTAAGATGTGTTATTATATACATGTACCAACTCCCCACAAGGGATGTAATCATTATGTACTGCAAACATAACCTAATAAAAAATTAAAATTGAGAAAACAGTTAAAATCTACATAGGTTCTGGAGTTTGGTCATTACTACTGTACAAATGTCCACATTCTAGTATTTAAAGTGCATTATGATTTCTTAAAATGCTAACATTGATGAAAAATAGTTGATGTGTACTCAGAAATTCTATATAATTTTGCAATTTTTAATTTTTTTGAGACAGGGTCCAGGCTGACCTTGAACTCATGACAATCCTCCTGCCTCAGCCTCCTGAGTGCTGGGGTTACAGGCATGAACCACCACACCTGGCAAATTTTGCAGTTTGTGGAAGTATTAAATTATTTCAAAATTAAAAATGGAAAACTATACCAATGGGAAAACTGTATTATTTTATATTTTTGTATGCAATGTTTGATAGTTCAGTTGCTCTACTTGATTACAACAATATAATATGATACAACTTTATAATGTTCATCATTCTAAGGGGTGTGAATTGGTATAAAATTTTCTTTCAGTATGGATTTCCTTTATGAGTATTGATGTAGACAGGAGTCTATATACATTTTCTGGAAAGACTTAGTATTTTTTTTTATTTTGCGGGCTATAAGGCTCCTTGTCCATATACTCAACTCTGTAATTTTTAGTGTAGAAATAGCCATCATCATCAAGTAAATATAAATGAGTAAATTTGTATACAAATAACATATGTATGAGAATAAACTGAATGTGTGTGGCCCAAGAGCCATAGTTGCCCATTTAATGAAATGGAAGATTTTTTCTTTTCCACGTATATATCTCTTTATATTTTTAAAAGTATTTGCTCAAATATTTCATATATTTTTAAAAATTATATTGTTCATTTTATTTTAGTTGCAAATGTAAATTTTCCTTACTTAATTGCCATAGAAGTAGTTTAGCAGATATATAATTGAAAATGAATTGATTTTATTTTGTAGAAATTGTATCTTTGTATTGTATTGTTTTTTGACCAAGTAATCCTTTTTTATGTTTCAAAATACATCTACTTTAACTGAGATAAAACAATCGTATATTTTGGGCTGCCATGTTATATTTTGAAGTATGTATACAATATATAATATTTAAATGTGGAAAAACTTTTAGACAAAGCTCCTCACTTATTGCACATCAAAGAATTCATACTAGAGAGAAGCCCTATGAATGTAATGCATGTGGAAAACTTTTTCAGCCAGAGGTCTTCCCTTACTAATCATTATAAAATTCATATTGAAGAGGACTCCCTGAAAGCAGATTTGCATCTGTGAAAGCCTTAAGCCAAAGCTTATCAGAGAATATGTATTTGAGATTGATTTATTTAAAGTAATGAATATGAAGAAACTTTTTAATTTAGTCCTCATCAGATACTAATTTCCAAGGAAAAACCTTGTCTATGTAATGATTATGGTGAAAACTTTTATACCTGTTAGTCACTTTTTAAAACATCCTAAGACAGATACCTCATAGTTGGAGATATTGGCATGGGCCATTTGTAAGATGAAAATGTTTTTTTTCTGTCTTTATCAGCATTATGTAATATCCGCATTATGTAAACATGAGAAAAATTGGGGTTCAGTATTGCTAAATTTTTCAGAAACCCGTATGAGCTCCTAACATATTTATTAAAGCTAATGTAATAACAAAAGAATTGATCTTAAAAGTAAATGTATTTTTAGAGCATAGGACCAAATAAAAGGAAAACAAACTGCAAACT